GCTGCTGCTGTAGCTGCTGCTGCTGTAGCTGCTGCTGCTGTAGCTGCAGCTGCTGCTGTAGCTGCTGCTGCTGTAGCTGCAGCTGTTCAGGTTTACAGAAGAAAGTTTTTACTCAACAAGTCCTAAATGTACAAACTGAACCTTCACCCAGAGCGTGTTCAGTTAAACTTCTTTAGAGGGACACGTACCGCTCGCTCATGTCACAGTTTTGGACTCAAATCTTGTATTGAGATGACACCCCCCCCCCCCCCCCCCTCTTACCAGCTCCAGCCCTGCTTGCTGGACGGGGAGAATTTGTCCATCAGAGCCGTGAGTTTCAGAAGAGACAGCTTCTGCAGCACGAGGATCTGAGAGACCGACTGGACCTCCAGTCCTGGACTGGGGGGTGGGGGGGACAGGGTCTGCTCGCTGGACCACCACGGCTGGGGGCTCACCCTGCAGGAGACACGGACCATACAGGAACCACATTGCTGATGTTTTAAATGTTTATTTTTCCAAATTACGAGAAAATTTGATATTTGCTTATAAATTGTCAAAAATGTTTTATATTTTCTCCACAGGTGACAAAATGTTTAAACTTTAATTATGAGCTTATTTTACATTTTCCTAAACTAAAGAGGTAAAATAAAATAATGCAAAAATAAATAATCATTTAAAATAACTGAAGACTGAAAAAGATAAATGTAGCTAAAGGTTAGCTACAAGTGGCAGCACAGTAGCTGAAAGAAAAAAAGTTTTACTTTTCACATCTGCACATGAATCCTGTTAAAGACTCGGATCTGGATTAAATCTGAATCCAGTGAGCACAGCTGGATTTAACCTCACCTTCTCCGGGGTCGAGGGGATCCAGTGTTCTGGTTCTCTGGTTCCTCCGGTTGCTGCACCTCCATGTGGATGTGGCTGGGGGAGGGGGAGCCGTGTGCAGGTGAGTCCTGGGAGGAGGCGGAGCCTCTCTGAAGGTCGTCCTCTGATAAGCTCTCAGACCAAGAGGAGACCAGCTGTTGGAGGTCGCTGATTCGCTCCAGAACACCGTCGAGGGCGGAGAATACGTCCTCGCCCGCCATCAGACGACCCACCTGAGAGATTCGAAAACATCCCTAAACGTCCACGTTCGGGCAGAGTGCACAACAGACTGAAGACCGGCCGCGAGAGTCTGCACCGGACAGTGTGCGAGAATAGTTTATATACACTTAATTTACGGTTTGGAAATAAAAATTAATCCCTGAAATATTCAGGGATTCTTTATAACTTTTGGGTTTGTCTGCAGACGAAATGGGCGTTCCCAAAGGAAGACGTATCAAGGCCACACCTGATTGGACGAAAAAACAAGACGTTACTTTGTTTTTTTTTTGTTAACTGTTTCAGTTGCCTAATTTTAATAATTTTATTTTTTACAAATCAATATTTTTAGTATGTGTTTCGTAGGTCGTCTCCCTCGTGTAATCGGCTCGTACCTCGGCCACCTGCTGTCCTTCCCAGGTGTTGTCTTTCATCAACGTCCCTGTGGGACATTTATTTTCCTGTCAAGCTCCGTGTCCCCAGCGTTAAGTTTGCTGCCCCGTCAGCCTTTATTATTTTTTTGTTAATAAATTATTTTTGTATTTTTGGGTTCGACATTTAACCAACAGAACGCGACAAGTATCATGGAGGGACTAATGGAAGCTGAAATCTGACCAAACACAAAATGATGTAATTTACAGACGACGAGCTTCAGTGTGGTGGAAGTAGAGGAGACTTCTGGAACTCACGTTTTTATCTTGACAGAAAGTTTCCTACAGGTCCACAGAACCCGCTTCTAAATGTCTGAACTGTCCCTTTAACGGTCTCTGGCTGTGATTGGTCCAACCCACCTCTGACTCCTCCCCTATTTGCTCCGTGTCACTGCCGCCTTTGCACTCTGACAGCTGCACGCCATCGGGCACATTGTCGTAGACACTCATCCGGTGGTCCGGCACGGCCAGTTGACCCGAGGACCCGGTACTCTGGTCTCCGGCGGCGAGAGAAGACACGCCCTGTCGAGAGTCGTGTTGCCCCCGGCAACCATGGTAGCTCCCTGTCCTCCAGTTGACGGAGGCGCTGTCGATGATGGGGGACAGGATGTGTTTGTGGGCGAGGGAGGAGGGGAAGGTCCCAGGTTTGTGTCCATGGGGGACCTGGAAGACCAGGTTGTTACTGCTGCTGTTGATCTGGTTCCTCAAGTCCTGAAAGGAAGAATAACCAGGTCTTACGTTTCAGTCTAGAACTATTAGTTTACGCAGCTACTTTTGTAGCTATAATTAGGTTTACAAGATATATTCTGATGATATTTTGAAACTCCAGGTGAAATCCTCTTCCTGTTCGCTCCTTGGGTTTTGAACGGCTTTAAATACTGATGTCGCCCCTTCTCTTCTTTTTAACATAAAGGGTCTAAATAGATATACGACAGCAAGTAAGACCTGCTGTGTAGAAGCTACTGACCTAAAATCTATTGAGTCGCTGGTTGCCATGGTGATTGCCCCTCTTTTTGAAACAAAAAGGGCGGGGCTTCACAAACTTTAGGAAGGGAGAGACTTGAAACTTTGCCTCATACAATCTGTACACAAACGATAAGTTGTCTCAAATAAAATTTAAACAGGTCTCTGGTGTGAATGAGTCCCTGAGGCTCAGAGGGATGAAAATGATTGAGTCATCTCTAATTTCTTTACATTTTACTTCCAAACTTTATTAACATTTTTAACATTTTCATTAGTAGGTGTGAGCGTGTCCGTTAGAGACTGACCTCTGTTTCTGAGGGGGTCTTGTTGGTCCGGGTTGCCCCCGCACCACTGTTTGAGCGTTTGCAGTTACTTCTGACCCGGGTGATGGGGCTGGGTGTGCTGATGGCGCTGCTGGTCTCTGATTGGCTGCTGCTGCCGCTGCTGATGGTGGGAGGAGACGACATCGACGAGGACGAGCGGCTGTTGGACCGGGCCTGCGGACTGGACGTCAAACCTACCGTCAGAGATACGCACGTGTGGTTTCACTTCTAACAGGTTTGAATCATACTGGTTCTCACTTTAACAGGAAGCGCATCCTGTTCGTCCTCTCTGCATCATGAACCAGAAACGGGCCACTGATGTGACGCCGTATCCCACGGGGCGCGTCCCCCCTCCGTCTCAGCTTCTCCATCTTCCTCAGCAGAGTGGTGCACTTCCTCCTGGGTGGTTTTTCCATGAAGCTGCCTTCAGTTTCCAGGCTGATGGAGGACGATCCTTCTCTGGGGGACGTAGGTTCGTTGAATGACGTGTCTAGGGACAGGGTCTTGTTTGTGGAGGAGCAGCGGGAGGAGCTCCTGCTGGTCTCTGGCTCGTCTGTAGTGCTGCTGGTGACCACAGAGGGAACCAGTTCTCTGTGACCCATGTGGTGCTCCTCGCTGTCGGAGCTGTTGGAGCTGTGGGTGCAGCCGACATCTTGACCTTGACGCCCGGCCATGCTTGCAGACAAATGGAGGACCTCATCGTTACAGCCGAGGCGTCGCCACTGTTGAGACTGCCTGTCAAAGGTCCAGTTGGGGCTGATGGCACAGAAGTCTTCCTCATCCCAGTCATCCCCCTGGAGGAAGGAACAGAATCCTTGTAGAGCTCAACTTTGCCTTCTACCTCTCCAGGCTGTCTTCCACCTGTTTGCTACTCTCACTACAGATGTCTGTGGACCCCTGCCCAACCTCATATGTCCACATTTCCACCATAACTTGAAAGAGGAATGAGCTCAGAGCTGATCCCGTAATAAGACACTGTCCAAACATCTGAGACTAAAAGGTTTCCAGGCATCTTCAACCAGTAGATGTCTTTTCAGCTAGTTTTGTCTCACTCACCCTATGTTTGGATCTCCACAGCTCCAGCCTCATTTCCATGCATTTGTTGAGAGTAATTAACCTCCTGAAAGGAAAACCAAAGACAAGCGAATGACTATTTCATAATTAAATAACAGAAACAAGGAATTCCTTTAATCCCCAACAGGGTAAATTGGTCAAAACATAAACGTTTTAGTTCAAATTCTACTAGCATATTTAGCTCCATCTACTAGCATATTTAGCTCCATCT